TTGTATATGAAACTAAACATGAAAACCATTTCTATAGCTGACTCTTCATGACAGCTTTTTCAAGTTCCTCAAGGCCAACCACAACATGCAACACTTTTTCTTCTCCTTTGGTTTGTTCGGCTCATTTATTTCTCTTTCACCTGTTCACTCTGCCCTCATCTTCTTACTTCTAATCTCTTCGCTCTTTGTCCTTTTGAAATCCTGCTTCACCACTGATGAAAAGCCTCCTGTTATGTCTAAAATAGTTTCTGTCTTGGCATCAGGGCTGCAGGGGGAGATTTCACCAAATGAGTGGTCTGACAACCACAGGCTTAGAAGAGGGAGATGGAGGGATGGGCAGATGGCGCTGTCCAGTTCTGAGAGGACACGCTACCACAGAGACCATTCCTCCATACCACCGACCTGCTTCAGGGGAAGAAAAATGCTTTCATTTTTGTTCAAATGCCACAGGCAAATGAAGCTGTGGGACTAAACTACAATTTGGAAATGGGATAGATGTCAACCAGTGGGACCCAAAAGGAATGGTTTGGGATTCTTTGGCTTGTGGACTGTTTTGCTTTTTCCCCTGCTGTTTTTCCTGGCTTATAAATAACAATATATCATTGGGGGAAAGTGGCTGAAGAGCTACTCCGCTTCACTGCAAACCACCACTGACCTAGCTGTAATTTGTATCTCTAAAATGTTTCATTACCTGAGGTAGGAACAGCACATTGCTGCAAAGGAGGTTCTGAAAAGCTCGACTGTATATTTTCTGCTACTTGCATGGCTGCAGACCAGGTACCACCAGTGAATGGAACTATTCTAATATTGGAGGCGTGTGGTTTTCTTAAGATCCTAAGCATAATTATATACCACAATCCAACCTTCTTTAACAAGCTGCTTGTCTGGTTTGGATTTCCCACACATGTCCAGTCCTTTAGCAAATGCATTTACTGTGTCCTTTGTCTCTTCACAAACATCCAGTGAGCTCTAGAAGCTGTTGCAAGTTGAAAAAAGCAATAAGATAAAGGTGCTCTTTTCATGATGAAGTTATTTTACTCTTAACTTTGCAGTATAGATCCTAAAAAAGTGGTAAATATGCCTGGTGCATAGATCGTTTGATCTGATTTGTTGGCACTTACAAAACTGATGTTCATGCTGAGTTAAATATCTTTAAAGGAGGATTCTCTTCCTAACTTCGAGCTAGCCCAAATGTTTGAACTGACTTATTAAAATTCTCCTTCCGTCCCCGTGTTATGGGAACCTGCTGCAACATCACAGTCCAGCATCCCCGCAAAGTGGAGAGAGAACAGGTCTAAAGCAAAAGAAAGGGAGAAGATAAGAGCGAACGGGTGAGGCTGTGTGTGTATTTTATGTGAGGCTGTGAGCGTTGGGCTTGGGGTGGGGGTTGACTGGCTCTGCATGGCTAGACTGGCCTGGCCCCATGGGAATCCTTCCATCTCTGCACAATAAAACATGGATAGGCCTGTCAGCGCCCGAGATACATGTCACAGAGATAAACAGGCACTTTCACATTACCCCTCCTTCCAGACACACACACACACACTCACCCAAACACTGATGTTCACTCACATAGTGCACATGCATCCACTTCATTGTCAATTTTTCTTTTCTCTGCTGGGCTCTTGAATGCGTGCCCATACATCCTGGAGGTCTTAATGCAGTCATTAAAGCTTTCATGCTGCTCACTCAACTCAACTTGCTTCCTGTGTAGCATCCATAAATTGGCCCGTACTCACAACCATCTGAGGAAAACTGTCAGCTACTGTAGAGAATAGAATCCATGGGTGTCAAGCTTATTTATTTCCCTGCATGGACAGTAATTATTTATACCATTTTCTGCACTAAGCAAAAAGAGGCGGATGGGACACGCAACGAGGCTGTTTAATAGCTTTCACCGAGATAGCAGAAATGCTATGCCCAAGATTAGGAGCAGGAAATGTCCTCTCGGGTGGTGGGAAACTTAGTGAGAAACAGAGGCTGTACGCTGGAGGTGTAACTGATAGCTGTCTGGCTTATTCAACTCCTGACACAGGAGAAAGTTCAGTCTGGACTTGTTGTAGCATGGCTAATAGTGAACAAAATAACAACATCGTTAAGATCAGAGAAGCAGCTTATATTTCTACTTTTAAAGCACGGTTTGGACCAGAAATACATGATTCCAGCATTATGCATTTGGAAAAGGAGCTATAAGAATGCATGCTGCCTTTCTATGTTGGCATGTTGCTTTTCTCTGTGTGTGTGTTTGCATGTGCATGAGTGAGTACTCTCTCTGAACCCAAGACACAGTTCCTTGCCTGTTCTTTGGAGCAATGCTGTAAATCAAGCTAGCTCCATTTCCCCGAGCCAAAGCCCTACATACTGTAGAAGAGGGGCCATTTATTCAGCGCTGTTTCAACTTGTTACTCCACTGAACTATCTCCTGTTTTCCTCCTTTGCTTGCTGCATTGGTCCCAAAATGCACTGTCTCCTTTAAAAATGCATGCCATTAGGCTCAGTGTCTAGACCAAGGAGATAAAACACAGCCGTGGTTTTGCTACTGAGAAATGCAGGAAGCTTTGAGCTGAGTGTATATGAGAGGGTATGCAGAGAAATCAGCAATCGTTCAGAGCCAGCTTTGATGTCTTCTTCCTGCTCTTTAGCCTTGCTTTTCTTTATTTTTTCATCTCAACCCCAGTGTTTCCTTTTTAGTTAAATTATTGCCTTAAATTTGTTTCTTTTTTTGCATTTGCATAATTTGATATTTAGCCTAAAATGTCACAATCCATATTAAAAATCGAAAGAGTTTGCATTCTAAGATATTGGTTGTTTTTAACTACATTTCCACATTGAAGCCCTCTCTTTTTGTCATTTCACTACAAACACTGACAGAAATATGGACATGACCTCTGTGACTTCAGCGGTAGATTCAGCTCAGGTGAAGCATGAGCTCGGAAAGTTTCTTTCTAGTGATCAAAAACAATGTAGCATTTTTTTTCTCATATTCTGCATTTTTAGGTCTCAGGATCATTAACAGGTTAAAAGACCGTTCAAACTAAATGGTCTAAATGAAAGAATAAAAATCATCAGGGCATACGTGTAGACAAGAGATCAGTTACCAACACTTGACACTCACATGGAGACACAGCTGGAGAAAACACTTCAAGGCAACAAAGACTTATCCAAAAGAGCACAAGATGCAGCGGGCTTTCATGTGTTTTCTCACAAAAAAAACAAAAGTGGGCCGAGAAAAGACGAGGATAGAGTGACAAGAAGAACACAGGCTGAGCGGAGTGCTGGCTAGCCACAGCAAATAGACCACAGGCAACCTCTAGACAGCTCAACCACAGTATTTGTGTGTGTGTGTGTGCGCGCGCACCTATATAAAAAAAAAAAACAGCGCCCTAGGTTCCTGAAAATTTGGCAGCATAAAGACACATGCCACATATCCCACAGCCAACTGTACACATAGAAATTCTTTGACCCACACACACAGCAGTGCTTACTATGCAGGGCAAGGCTGTGTATTGCAGAGATGGGAGCCCAGTGCAGGCCTGGTGTGGGGATTACACATGCTGGAGTTGACCTGAGCCTTCTGGTCCTGCAAACAGATAGCCTTGGTTGAGATACGACCTGATGGAGAGACAGGGAGAGAGAAGCAGAGAAATCGTAATGTGTTTCTTTCAGGTAATTAAGGATCTTTATTTTTCATTCCTGCAACGTGGATGCATTTAAAGTCAAATTTGAATTTTCTAACTGTCATGAATCAACACAAAGAATATGTCTATGGGTCTGCCAGCTGTCGCAGCACCTAGAGGCATGGCAAATGAAACTACATGTACCGTAAACACAACAGCTATTCACTAACAAGTAAGCTGGATAGTAGCTGTAAGTCTTTCTCCGTGAGGAGAAAGTCTGACAAAGGTGCTTTTCATTAACCTTAGCACATTTCCTGGAACACTGTTCATCAGGGTATTATGCACAACACAAAAACACAGCCACACACAGAAAAATCAGACCTATAAACACACACACACAACTTTTCCTCATCACTTTTAGTACATCTGCACATATTTCTGCCTCTCTCTTATTGTAAGCAACTTAGAATCTGTTGCTATGCCATTCAGGCTTTTCATCAGGGGCTGATTTGATGCATTGATTCCAAATCCTGAGCAGATTTTAAAACGCTGGGGATTTTGTTTCAAATTGAGATGTTAAACGAAGTCTTCTTAGTTTATTTGCTTTTTAATTGATGATCAATTCCATCAATTCCAAGTTTGACGTCTTTGCTGCTACATTGTCAATTAAAGTAACGTTAGCTTGATTTGACTGTTGCAGTTCAGTGGTGGATTTTGGCAAATGTTAATTTAATTTACTTATCCTGTGTACAGAACTCTTCTAGTTTTATCCAGGCATCAACAGATGGACACACAAATAAAAACCGCCTCACCTCCGGCACAGGGAGCAGAGCAATCCGAGCGCACCACACCCCAGCTGTAATCAGGCTTCCTCTCAGTGCGAGGCAAAGTGTACTCCCATACCACACCCGGGTTCTTTCCCTGCAGAAGGATCTATCAGACAAGAAAACAATCAGTCAAAAAAGGTGACAGCTATGTAGAGAAAGTTTATATTTGAACCTTTATTTATCAAACTGGAAGTCATCCACCAGGCTACAGCTGAGTTTTCCCAGCTGCTCAAGGGAGTGACACTAGCAACCTTTAGATCCTTCCTCAAAGCTCTAAGCCGCCCTTTGTAGCTTAATGTAGAGAATATAGCATTACTGCATACTAAACAGAAAGGAACACTAAATATTTAAGAAGCTAAGTAAGGCAAATATTTAGCACCGGTTCATCTACATGTCTTTTCAGCACCTAACCCACGTATTCCCTCAAATGTCGACTGATTATTAGACCTCCAGTAATCCATGTATTATGTCTTGTGCATTCTAAACCAAAGCAAATTTCACCCATTTGACAGACTACCTACTAATGAGAAGATTCTAGAAACCCTACAAAATGCTTTATTCCATTTCTACTCTGAACTGAATGAGCACTTTTATTTGGATCATATAATGCTCATGCAAGGGACAATTTCCATTTTCTTTTGTGATGCGTCTCTTTTTATAACCACATCCTTTACACAGCCCAGTGATTCTGAGGTACCTTTTCTGCACAAGAGATTTATTTGAACATTCAAGTCAGGCAGAGACTAATGGATGAATGAATGCAGACATGCCCATTACAGGAGAAGCATCAGGCTATCATTAAAACAACCCCATGAGAATTCCCTGCTGTGGTGAAAAGTTTTGCTTGACATGCATTTACATAGTCAGCTCCTAGTGTGTTATTTTAAACCATTTCAAAACACTGCACTGGATTGTATTCAGCATAGCTTTGTCTCTTTTGCATCCAACCACGGTTTAGTCCAGGTTGGGTAACTATTACTCCTCAGCCCATTTGGCGAAATGTATTAAGTCCACCTGTGATTCTTGAGAAACATCACAGTGTATCAGCATCTGTGATAATGGATTTTGACAGGTGTATTTTCTTTGGGGTATTTCCTAAAGTTGAAAGGAATCAACCATCAACCATTCAACGCCAAGCACCTCCTGGGTTCAATCCACATTAAACAGTTCTGGGACGCTTCCACTAACTTTAAAAATAACCTTCTGATTGTTAACTGTCCAATGCATAAAGTTAGCTATTGCAAGATGGGGGAAGCAGCTACCCAATGTCAGAAAAATGTATCCGTAAGTCAGTGTTTTAAAATCAATACTTCAATTTAATTTTAGTTGGGGCAAAAGTGGTTCTGATGTCACATTTTCTACTTAAGATCTTTCTCAACATCTGTACGGTTTAAGTGTCTTTAGGCTGCATTTTTGCCATCAAGTAACCTTAATTACTACCTACGAGTCAAATCACACTTTGTCACGGTCAGCAGTGGCAGAGTGTGTGGAGAGTGTGTGGAGGACCCAGGTGCGGACACAGGCGAGGAGACAGAACTAACTTTAACAAAAGGCGAGCCTTTATTATGGCTGGTATAGGGGCAACATAAAGCAGCAAGGACAGAGGTAAAACTAAACTAGAACCTACGCTGGGAAAACTTAAAAACTAACAAAACTTTGACTTAACTATGACAAACTAGGAAGACTGGCAATGACTATGAACAGGACCATGTGCAGAGTGCATGACAAAACAATGAAATACACGAATCACTAACAGAAACATGAACTGCACAAGAATCCTGAAACTACTTAACCTGACATGACATGAGGGATGTAACACAGATGACATGACGACGAACACAGGAAGACTGTGGACTTACATACACACATGAGGTGATCAGGGGAAGTGGAGACATATGAGGACACAGCTGACTAGAATGAAACATAATGACAACACAGGGGAGAGTAACACTAATTACAATGAACAAAGCACACCAGACTCTTCCAAAATAAAACAGGAAACACCGAGACATAGACGTGACACAAACTTGACAACAAGAGCCACACAGACATGAAACATGACAGGTAGACGCACGGACCAGGGAGAGATGACAAAAGGGACTAAACTGCAACCTAGAAATCAACTCGATGAGTTAAACTATAACACAAATGAATACAAAAGATACATAAAAACAGCACCGTGACACATTCCTAAATGTTTGAGATACTAAACTTTAGTATCTTGCTAAAGTGATAAAAACTGCAGACTCAACAAAACCACATAAGGGTTGGCCACAGTTTAACACCCACAGTTTCTTTGTCCGTGCTACCAACACCAACCAAACCCAATGCCATTGAAAAACTGCCACCACTAACCACACAGGGACATTGTGCTTATCCAAGCAAACCAACCTTCTGCTCTTTCACCAAACAACCACCAGTGATGTGAAACAGCAGCTACAAAAACAACTCTGGTCAGAGTTTTTATAGTCACTTTAGTAGAGGACTTAGATGTCCGTGAATTGTTCAAGCTTTCCAAATCACTGATCTTTCTTTCCTAAGAAATGTACAATGTTTAAAACACCCAACCAACCACAGTGTTCGCATTTGTCTGCCAAGAGACAATAGAAACAATAGTTTCAGACAAACCTACCCACCACTGCTTTAGTTTTTGATCATTTAAACCCGAAGCTCAACCATTCAGTAACAACTAAACCAATACGAACAAAAAACGATCACCTACCTATAGAGCTGGGCGATATATCGAGTTTTTAAAAAACATCGATATATTTTTATTCGAGATATAAGATGTGACAATATCCTTTATATCGATATAGTCTATGTTACGTTATAACTATACTTGTGGAGCCACAAGTTTGCCTCTCTTTCGTCCACTTTTGTCTTTACGCAACATTACTCGGCCTCGCCCCTCCTTCACTGAACACAACTCCCCCGCCTCCCCCATCGCTTCACCTGCAGTGTTGCCAACTCCTCAGTAAGGAAAATCGCTATTGGCTGTCCTAAAAGTCGCTAGAAGTCACCAAATGACGTCATCGCCTAATTTGCATAATTGGTCATGCTAATATAATTGTAACCTACACTGTTAGAGAGAGAAATAACATCGTGGAAGAGACATAAAGTGAGTAAAAAACGTCCTAAATGCA